AAGGTCTCCCTGAGCCTCCTTTTCTCCAGGATAAACAACCCCAGCTCCCACAGCCACTCCTCATAAGACTTGTACTCCAGACCCCTCACGAGCTTCGCCGCCCTTCTCTGGACACGCTGCAGCACTTCGGTGCCCTTCCTGAACCGAGTGGCCCAAATCTGAATGCAGTACTTGAGGTGTGGCCTCACCGGTGCCGAGCAGAGGGGGATGGTGACTTCCCTGGACCTGCAGGCCACACTACTCCTGACACAGGCCAAGATGCCACAGGTACCTGAGCACATCGCTGGCTCACGGTCAGACATGAACACCTCCTCACCTCCTGCCAGGACCCCCCGCCCGGCCCCCGAGAGGCCTCAAGGGCACCGACCCCGCGTGGAGCTCAGGGCAGGGGCGGCCGAGCGGCTGTCAGGAATCCCCTTTGCCGGGCCCGAGCCCGCCGCCTGGCCCTCCGCCTCGCCGCCCCCAGCCCCGCCAGGTTTCCCCGCGGCAGCGTCGCCGAGCCGGCGCAGTTACCTGGGCCGCGTCGCCGCCGGGGCCGGGGCCCTGCCCGGCCTCCATGGCCGCCGTGACCCGGAACTGCGCGCGGCGCACGCAGGGCGCGGTGTGCGTGCGCGCAGGCGCCAGTCCCGCGGGGCGGGCTCGGCTCGGCCGCGCTTCCTGCGCTGGGGACGGGCCGTGCCCTCATGAAGGGCAGCGGAAAGCTCCTGCCTGTCCCTGCCCAGCTCCTGCTGTAGGTACGGTACCCACAGGGCTGTTAACCGCTTGATAAAGATGCGTAGCTAGAATTTCCTAAAAGGAGAGGATCCCTGTTGCCTAAAATAAGGGTTTTTCTGAATCAAGACTAAGCCAGGGTCTGCTGGACTACTCTTGAGCTCGAAAGTGGTATAAATTTGGTGGTTAGGATTGTCTTGGAGTGGAAGACTACAAAGTTGTGTGCTTGATTCTAGCTAATGCCGTGGAAATGGCAGCTTCAGTGGGTGCTTGCAGTTTTTGAGAAATAAGGAGAATTTGAAGGAAAAAAAAAGGTTTTGATATTGCAATGTATACCTTGGCATTTTCTAGTAAACAAGCAGTACTATAGCTTGAGCTCACCGTATGCTGATATGCCCGTACTTGTGTGTGGAATGTACCACTCCCTTTAAGCCTTTCCTAGAGCAAGCCGTTGTCTCTTTACCCTGGAATTTGGCTTAAATTGCTGCTTTCTGATGGCTGTACAAAAAGGGTCCCTGCCTGAAGATAGGAGAAGGAAGGTTTTTGAGACTGAAGGTCTGAAATTGGCAGAGAACTATAAAAGGAACACTGTGAACATGTGAAGGGCCTAGGGCAAATGGACTGATGAAAGCTATGGAGGAGATTGGATTCTTGAAACAAGACAGGTGGATAGAACTAGAAACTGTGTGTAGTGGGCTTCTTTTATTTATACCTTTCATCATACAATAAATACATTTCCAATTTACATGAGATTGGAAGTAATTGGTGTTATCAGGGAATCTTTATTTCTGCTTGTCACCTCGGCCCATGCTAATGAAACACACTCCAAAACAGAACCATCCATGATGCACATTATTAGCTGGAAGGCAAAAGATTTTTTGCGCTCATCAGCTCAAGACAATTTTGTTTATGGGCCTATAGCACATTTATTAAGACAACTTATTTCATGTTTTTCCACTTATCTTTCGGTACATTCTACACAAAAAATACAATGGGTTCTTAAAGATTTAACTTTTGTGGGGTAACACGTGCTTATGAATTGCACCTCCTCTAAACATGGAGCTTCAATGGGGAGGAAATGGCAATCAGTCTCCTTCATTGTAGAAAATAATGACTGAGCTGCTGATTTTCTTCTCTATTGTAAAATTAATAGTTATCCATTCAGTTTTCTCACTTCACTGTCTTCAAGTCTCTCAGATTTCTAATGGGGAAAAAAATTAAAGTAATGCAGCAAACTGGTGAGTTTACCATCCATCCAAAAAATCTTTCCTAGTACAGCCTGCTTGTGAGACACTTAAAGGTTTCACCTGGCTACATACATCCATTTGTTGGCTTAGAGCTTCAGTTGCAGGGCCATATGCAGCATGGATGGTAGAGCATATCTACATCCTTGACACTTCATTCTCTGTACTCAGGACTGGTTTTTGGAGTTCATTCATTGAAAAAAATGTTAACAAAGACACCCTTTCTGACCCTCTGGTCTTTTTTACGACTTCCTTTATAATCATGCTATCTTTCATGCAACTATGAGAACTTACACAATTGATGATTGCATCACCAAGTCCTTCTGATAAACATGAAATGTTCTCTTGCAAAGTTTAAGGCTAGATATTGCACCCTTTTCTTGAATACTATTTTCTCTACTTTCTGCTTTAACAGGTGCCATTATGCAATATGTCCATGTTTGTTTACAAATCTATGCTCTAGAGTAGTTCTTAAAAGAAAAACTCACAGGGATCTTGAACTGTTTGTTTTAACAACAGGCACAATGGTGGCTTGACACTTCAGTAGCTGTTTTATAATTGCTGTTCTGTGTTGTTTTAAAGATAAAAATAATAGATTATTTTTAATAGCATAAAGTTAAATATTTTTGGGCCACTTTAGGAGTCAAAATTATTTTTACAAGTATTAAAACTCACGTATCTATGTCTCTAAACTTTTTATATTTTATGACTTAGTATCATGTAAGAATGAAGACTATATTTGAGATTCAAAATACTATAACAAAAAAACTTGATAGTTAACCTTTAGAAATTGGAACTTATTTGTTGTGAAGGAGATGCCTCGAAAGAAAAATGAAAACTTTCAAATGATGAGATTCTTTTAAAACGAACTGATTACTTAGGTTAACAAGTTGGAAGGTGTGAAAGTCACATGGGTTCTAATTGCAGTACTTTGCAAAGCAAAGTGGTGAATATTCAGAACTCTTGAAGGTGGAGCTCAAAGAATTATTAGGGTGGGCTCTGTGCAGTCTGTCAAGTGGTTTAAAAGTTTGTTTCTGATGAGTTTTTTTCATCCCCTTGTTAACGGTTAGTGACAGGTTTTATACAATTCCACTGCAAAACACAGGTGGCCTAACAAATAAGTTTTACAATGCTGTATGAGACATAACTAAAACTATCAGATATATGAAAGAGTGGGAGTAAACACTGATCTGGTAAGGAAAGTCTCCAAAGCAAGTACTGGAAGCGTATGTGCTCAAGTACAAAGAACAATGTGAATGGTGATTCTATTTTTTCTTCTGGTTTTTGCTTGGTGCTCTGGACAACACAGTAAAAAAATGCAACAGCTGAGAGGTTCTGGTGGCTGCCAAGAGTTAACAGGACTGTATTTGGAAAAATCTCTCCCTAATGAGGAAATAACTGTGCCTCATACCAAAAAAAAAAAAAAAAAAAAAAAAAAAAAAAAAGAGCATTGTTGTAACTACTACAACTGGTGGCAAACAAAGAATCAGTTATTTGCCTGAAGCATTATAGCACATCAGCAAGAACCAAGAGTGGGTGTCTTTGAGGAGCTGCTAGTCAAAGCCTCAATTGGTAAGGACTTTACCCACACAGATAATGATTGCCATTAATATTAACTGGTACTGTAATGTATTTTGAAAATTACTTTACATGTTAACTAATCCTTAGAGCTATTTTGTAAAGCTGGCAGGTAAAGGAGCATTTGGGTCTGAAAGTGTTTGTGAAGTTCAGGTGCTCAGGTTTAAATACCAGTGATCTGATTTTCATTGGTGGTGAGGTTCTGCTGCTCTTGTCTCACTCACCTGCATTTATAGTGGAGATCACTGAGCCCCTAACTCAGAATAGCTTCAAAATCAGAAGAAACCTGTGACATACTTTGCTTCAGTCAATTGTCTAAAATGATGCACAACACCAGCAGCAATGAATCCTGTTTATCATGTTAGGCGCTCTATCACCCACGTTTGGACTGTGGTACAATTGTTAAAGTACAGTAACAAGTACTGTATTTTAATGCCACAAAATTCTTAAAGCTACAGGGAAGAGTTAACCTCAGCTACCAGGATGTCTTTATTTTTTTTCCTCTCCTGCTTTCTTTGCCTGCTGGTTTCTGCAAGTTGATGTACATTATGTGTCTTAAGGGTATGCAGCACATGGACATAAATAGTCGAATATGGAGGGGCTTTTACAGCAATAAACTATACTCATACAAAGTGTGGTACAGAACCTTGAACTTCTAATAGAATTTTTTACAACTGTTGTGCTGGTGCGTTTTTTCTTTGTACTTTTCACTCAGTTCCGGTTTTCTTGGAAATGCTTGTTACAATACAGTACTTGCATGACAGGCTTATGTTTAACAGTGGGAGAATGTTAACTGCAGGATTCTTTCTAATACTGTTTTGCAAATCTTGTGTTATTTTATCACACTTTACATATATTTTTTTTTCTTTCCCCCCACCCCATTTTTCTTTAAAGCCTCGAAGCTTTGAGGCACTTTAACAGAAAATGTAGTTACTTTTTAACCAGTTAAAATGTTAATGTTGGTACTGTTTCTGTTAACGTTGGCTCCCAGATCTTTGCATTGTATAGAAATACATTGTTACTTCCACGCACCAGACTTGTTGTATTGGTGAAATCCTGGCTAGTCCCAGTAGCGGCTCAGTTTTCTGAGGATGATGTTGTGAATTATCTTATTACTCCGCCTCGCTGCCAGTGCATTGCGATAAACCTTGCAGCTTGGCGCCTGCGGGAACTACATTAAATCAAAGCGAACATCCAATGGCCAGAGCAGTCCAGGTGCTTTATATGCCATGAAGGGGTGGCGGCAGCTTGCCCTGCCCCGCAGGCTTCCCGGGAGCCAGGCTGCTTCTGCGGGGGAGCCGGCGGTTCGCGTTGGTACAACAACGCGAGTAATTCCTCGCAAAAAAAAAAAAAAAAAAAAAAAAAAAAAAAAAAAAAAAGGCAGTATCTCAGCATTTGTGCAGCTGGCCGAGACACAAATATTTGCCCTTATTCGCTGGGGGGAAGGGCGGGTTTTCCGACCGCTTCCTACGGGAGAAAGGAGCGCCCTGATGGCATGAGCACGGCGCGGCGGGGCCTCATGGCCTCAGTAGCCAGGACACTTCCTTGATGTTTCCCAGCGACGCTGCTGCGTGCCCAGAAAGCCGTTTGATTCCCGGCTACCTTGATGATACCGGCCTTCTTGACGGCAGCGATCGGTCCTGCTCTCTCCGGGGGCGCGGAGGCATCCCGAGGCCGCCCTCCTCGCCGGGTTGGCCCGGTGCGGGGCTGCGCGGAGCCGCCGGGGCACTGCCCCGAGCGCTCCGGGGGCGGCACCGGCCGCCGCCCCGGCCTATCACAGCCGCGGGAAGCGGGGGAGGGGGGGCACCGCCAATCGGAGCCCGGCTCGCCCCTCGCCGCCGCGCGGTTGGCCGAAGTGTGGAGGGTGGTGCCTCGAGGGCGGGCCGGACGCTCGGGAGCCAACGGGGAGGGAGCGCGGGGGCGCGGCCTTGTGAGTGCTGCGCGCCTGCCCCAGTGAGCGCCGGGGCCGGGCGGGGCCGCGCGTGCCAATGGGGCGGCGGGGGGGGCGGGAGCGCCGCGCCGGGACGTCGAGGTGCCGGAGGGGAGAGGCGGCGTCGGGATAAAGCCGGCGGGGGATGCCGGTGGCGCGCGTCGCTCACTGGGTACCGCCAGGGTCGCTCTGAAGTGTCGGGGGGACCGCCGCCGCGCTGAGGTAGGCGGCGGCGCCCGGAGCTGCGGCAGCTTCCACCGGCGGGAGAGGTGAGGCGGCGGCGCAGCCGGGATCCGGTCGTGGCTGATCGGAGGGAGGAGGGGACGCCTGGCCCCGACGGGAACGGAGCCCGCGGGCTGTGCTGTGCGGTCCCTGGCGCTGGCCCGGCCCCGGTCCTCGCCGCTTTGTTTACGGTGGGGCGGGGAGGGGAGGGACGGGAGGGAGGGCAGCGTGTGGTCGGGCGGCCCTGCCCGCCGTCGCCGCGGGGGCATGAGTAGGGCGGAGACGGAGCAGGGGTCGGCGGTGCTGCGTGCGCCCGGCCGCCCCCCACCTGAGCTCCGGACCTCCTGCCCCGGGGAGACGGAGCCTCCCCGATCCCCTTCGCGGCCCGCGCTGTCTCCTTCCGCCCCTTCCTCCCCGGCCGCGGCCCCACCCGTGCGTGCCCAGCCTTTTCAGCCGGCGGCCCCCGGAGCCTCCGGGGTAGGAGCGGCGCTCGTACAGCCCCGCGGGCCGAGCGTGAAGCGGCGGCCGCCGCCGGGCTGCTGCCGCCCCACACCCGTCTGGCCGGCTCCGGCCGCCCCCCGGGACAGCGGGGCCGCGCAGCCGCCGGGCAGACACCGCCGCAGGGGATGGCGGGGCTGGGAGCGGGCCAGGCCGGCCGGGAATGGCGGGACGGAACGGGGAGGGTGGCACGGAGCCGGGCTTTGTTCCCGGCCCCGCCCCGCCTGGGGGTGCCCGGGGGCTCCGGCGGAGAAACGCGCGTCCCGGCTCCTGGTGCGGAGGGCGGTGCGGGCGAGCAGCGACACCCCCGGCCGCCCGTGCCGCCCTCCGCGCAGCTGGCCCGCTCCCCCGCCTTCGGGTGAAACTTGGGAGACTTGAGCGGCAAAGTAGGAGACGTGTGTGCGCTTGGTGTGCAGCGCCTCGCTGATGGAGTCGCTCTGAGGTGCTCTTAGGACCAAGTTTGGCTTCCACAGTTTTTACAGCCTCAGATGGGCGTGCTTGTATAGCTGTAAGTATTGTAGGGGCTTCATTAGTTTTCCTCTCTCCACTTTCATGTGTATTTTGGTAATGTGATAATTTTTGTTACTCAGTGGACAGTTCAGTTTGTGTCTTGACCAGAAATCGCTGTCTGACGATCAGGTAGCTCTCGCTAAAACGTCCTAAGGATCAGAAGGAAAACATAAAAAAAAATCCCTGAAAACCCAACAAACCTCAAATATTTTGGTGGTCACTCATACTGAGGGAATTGCAAAAGCAGTTTGCTAATATGATCTTGAGGAATAGTAAGGCAATTTAGAGATGAGGCAGCAAGAGTGTAACCTGGACTTCCTTCAGAATTACAAATCTCAAATGGACATTAGGAAAGACATATACTAAACCAGAAAACTAATTCTTTACTCCTTTGTGCACTGCATATCTCCCAGCTGCAGACTTCATGGCGTGTATAGAGTATTATGAGAAAGGTGATTTGCTGATTGAGGGTTGAGCAAAGTGAAATTTACTGTAGTTTCTTAAGAAGTATTTCCTCACCATGTCATTTCCTCAGTAGGCTGTTTCAGTCACTTTGCTTCTGTGTTGTTACTGTCATGCTGGGGATATGTACCAAATACTTCAGAATCTGTGTGGAAGATCGCACACCAAGGGCTGTAAAACCACGCTGATTCTTATCTTGTGACACTATCTCAGGAAGGAAACAAGCCACTCTGTAAAAATTGTGTTGCAGGTTTAGTAAGTCACGTATTTAAAGATGAGAACAACATTTTCAGTGTCAAAAGCTTCCTTTATCTGTGGTTTGTAGAGGTTCTTAGTGGTACTTGATGGCGGTTGTTTCCTGTAGACAGCCAACTTCCCTGGGCAAATTGCTGCTGTGAATGACTCCTTATTTATATTCCAAAATTGATTTGGGTAAAGTCTGTGCTGACTTCTCTGGAAGTGGTTTCCTTGGAGCAGAGTGGTGGTATGTTGCTGTGGGATGTTGTAGAACATTGTTGCTGAGCTTCATTTCAAAAGAAAAGTTGTTTAATTCTTCTGTGGGGTTAGTTAAGGTAAAGTTGGAAAATTCAACTAATTCTCTTTCTGTTTGACTGGCCTAAGTGAAGCAAAGCATGGTGATAGCTGGTTTTCGTGTAATAGCGTAATACTTTTAAGAAGGGAAGTTTTAGGTTGTAGAGGCTAAGGCAAAAAGTAGAACTGTTCATTTTTCATGTTACTGTATTAGTGCTTTGCAGAGTCATCCTGCTAGGCTTCAACAGCTCAAGAGTGGTCCTCATATATTTATTTCACTGTGAGTGCTTGTCTTTCTAATTTGGGGTGATAAAATTAATTGGCATGCTGAAAGTTTTTGCGAATACAGTTGAGATCATGCTGTCTGTATTTACTTTTTCTAAGAACTTAAGAAGATTATAATTCCCTTCAGTGGCTATGCATCAAGGAAAACAACTTGAAAAACAGTGTGTTCCATATCAGGCAGGAGTTGCCTATTTTATATCTAGCTTTGTATTTAAGGGGGTTTTGTCTTCACCATCTTGCCAGGTGAAGACTACTTCATTATTGCATAAAGGACCAAAGGACAAGTTTAGATTTTTTGTCTGAGCTCCTTAAAACATGTGAAGGCAAACTTTTCACTTCAGTGGTCTTACATTATACAGAACATAGGTATATAATGTGCTCCTTCTAGCTTAGAGTGCCATGAGTTTTTAGCAGTTTTTGCCTACATTTAAGCCTTAGTTTTAAAGAAACTATAGGTATTGTGCAGATAATGTCAGAGGAAGGAGCTGTGTGTGCATGTGGGCTATGTGAGTTACTGTGAGAAAAACGAGGATAATATATCTGGGTTTGTGACCCTGTACCTGTGGTTACTGACCTGCCTTACCAGCAGAAAATGTGATGTTGCTTATCCTCAGTGGGGAGGCAGCTGGCCTAGCACACGGCCTGGCTGTGGCTTGCTGCTTTGTGCAGCTTCTGCGTGCTCGCACCCAAACAACTTTCAGCCTTTACAACTCTTGTATCTGTAATAATCCTCCCAGGAATCACAGTGGGCTGGAGAAGTGTTGCAATGTTAGAAGGTTTCTGAATTCAGCATTATTCTTGTCTGGTCTTGCTCTAAATCCTGATGAACTCCAGTAATAGATGCTAGCCAGACTGACTCAGCTAGGGTTGCTTCTGCCTTTCTATATTCAACTAAAAGAGCAGTTCTTTCTGGTATATAGCTTGCTTATCCTCAGTGCTCGACATTTAATTGTCTGAGTATCTGTGTACTGCCATATAGCTCTGTCTCTTCTAAGACTTTTGTTGTCCTCCCTTTCCTTCCTTCCCCTCCCCCAAATCTATTATAATCCTAATTCCCTCTGACATGAGCACCTCCCAGGAAGAATGACTGAATACAGTCTCAAACAGCAAGTGTCCAATACCATCACGGAAAGATATCAAAAAGGAAAAAAAAAAATCCCCTTGAGCTAGTTGAACAACAGTGCTTGCTCTGGACATGGCTTCAGTTTTGAGGGATTTTTGTATTTATCCCTAGTTTTTCCTAGTGATTTATGTTTGCATGCAAAAATAGAAGAGGAACAAGTATTAAAAACAAAACCAAACCAAATTTCTGAAGTTGAGTTTGAGGTTCTCTGAAATGTCTGTATATTTGATCTGGTGCAAGGAGCTGGTGTCCTAATGCCATTGCTGTAAGCTTTGGGGTTTTATTGGTTTGTTCTTTACATGAATATTCTTGCCCTTGTCACCAGAAGCAACGTCAATTGTTTTTGTGGTTAGTGACAATATTCAAAGCTGAGCTGCATGGAATTTGCACAGACCTAGATACAGAAGGACCTTTCTTCCATCATTCCAGCTGCTGCTTTGGCTGCTGGTCCATACAGGTGTAAGAGAACATTACTTTTCAAGAGCTGGGGCTGGCCTAGCCTGAAATAGCTACAGACAGGAGTGTCTAGCAGTAGGCTTGGGACTGTTGACATGCCACTTGAATAGTGCAGGTGGTCACTTTGGAATTAACATGGTGACCTATTTTCTTCTTCTTCCCTGTATTCCAGAAAGTGGGAGAAGACTCTTGGCCTGGACCTTTTCCCCCCCTCTCTTCTTAGATTTTTTTTTTTTAAGTGAAGTTGCATGAGATGGTCATGATAATAAAACAAGCTTTGTGTGTTTTGTCAGCTAACTATTGGAAGGCTGCTTCAAAACTAAATAACTGATACTTGGGGAATATTTACAATTGCATGTTAAAGCAGTTTGTCAGTGGCAGTTGCCAATGTTATTTTTCATCTGAGGTAGCAATTTTTTCTTTTTAGTGTTTGTTTCCCCTTATCTTTAGTGTGTTTCTAGAGAGTAATGGTATAATTTTGGTAAACCAGATCAACCAGACTCTCTCTTGTTCAGGTGAGATTTCTTGTTCACCTTATCATACTAAAATGCTGTAATTGCCTTCTTCATATATTATTTAGTCTTTTTACCATGCATTGGCCAGATTTCTATAAGGTATTCCAGGGAAGGTTCCAGTGGGACTTATAAAGGTTTCTTTAATACTCTGGTGGGTGTATCTTGCTGGTAAACCTTAAGGATCCTGTTTTCTTTCCATAGGCCTCTCAAGTTTTCTCTGTCTTCATAAACTGCAGCTTATAACCGACAATATTACTGCTCAAGTATGTTCCGTTAAGGGGGGAAGAGCATCTGTGGGTTAAATGCAGCTTTAGTGAGTATCACTTTTGCCAACAGTCCTTGGGCCTACTATAGTTTGGGTCCCAGTGGGTATGATGTTAGTTATACTTGTGCAGAGAGTATTCAAGGAGCTCAAAGATACCCCAGCAGCATGCAAGTAAGCAAGGGAGATTTTTAGCAAATAGAACGGTGTGTGCTAAAAAGATCCTTGTGAAGTTATGGGTAAGACCTGCCTTGCCATATGCAATCCCATTTGCTTAGCCTTTCACAGACTTCCTGCTGTTGAACTTTCACTGCTGGTTTTTTGTAGTAGTCTCAAGGACAATAATTGTGTAGGTTTTACCAGCCCTATGCAGTTAAGTTTGTTTGTTTAGAGTAACTGAATATAATGTTGGATATGTTTATAAAATAAGAGCTGGAGAGAGCATAAAAACTACAAATAGAGATAGTTTTGTTGCACTCGATCCTGAAGATAAGGCTCTAGTAATTCAGTGTGGGAGACTGTTAAAAGAGATTTTTTTCAAAGTGAAGGAATAAGGCTTGGGAATGATCTAATAAAATGAGACCTCAGGAATTTGCATTTCAAGTTGAAATTGCAAAGAGTGACTTT